CATACACTTAAAATCATAGACTCGATTGCATGTATATGTAATATATATGTATTGTATATATAGATATGTATTTCATATATATATATCATGTGTATATATGCAATATGTGTGTGTATCAGTGTTCACATAACATTATGCAATCAAGTCTGTGATTTTAAGTGACTCCTTTAGAAAACAGCCAAGAAGTAGTAGGGCAGTGGGTAGGGAAGAAGGGAAACCAACTAGAATGAATAAATGAACTCAAAGGTTCATTATATGTGTTAGGTTCAAGTGGTCACAGAAGGACCTCAAAGGAGCAACAGTTTTAATATGTTTTACTTTGGGTGCCACATCACTCAGATTAGGATCTTTCCTGTATTTTTATATTATCTCTCAAAGGATGTCCTGAGACCCATGGATATGCTTGAAAAACTCTTTTTCTCAGGACAGAGTTGCAGAGGCAGTGGGACAGAGGCCTAGCCTGATTAAAGCTCCAGAGAAGTCACAGCCACTTAGGTGCCTCATCAGTCAATTCCATAGGTCATCCTCCCTCCAACCATAGTCCCACACTATATTCCTGGCCCAGAGTCCTCTGACTCGAGCTCCAGAGCTTCCCTTTAGCTGGACACAGCCCTGCCACTTGCCCCTGACCATCCAGCTCTCACAGGTGCTCCAAGCCTCAGAAAGAGTCTTAATAGGACAACAAGGAAGACTGGTTGTACTGTAGCTTATAATGTTATCAGGTACCTGCAGCCCTGTGCCTCAGGTCTTTTGTGTTTCAAGATGTTACAAGGTTTGAGACATATAGTTTCTGTGGTCAAGAGTTTCAGATTTTAGGTAATTCCTGTAGGGATTTGCCTCACAAATAGCTGGCACTCAGAAGGGCTAAAGGACCCCATTTAGATATGACTTTACATGACCTCTGCTAGCTTTTCCAGCTTTACCTCATTATACACCCCACATTCCATGCACACTGATCTACTTGGTACCTCGTGTGTGTTACATGTCATTGAGTCAGTTCCAACTCCTGGTGACTCCACGAGTGAGTGATGTCCACAATGTCCTGTCCTCAACAGCCCTGCCCATCTTCTGTAGACTCATGCCCGTGGCTTCATTATGAAGTCAATCCATCTCATATTTGGTCTTCCTCTTTTCCTGCTCCTTCCTTTTTCTACAGCATCACTGTCTTTTCCAAAGAACCCCTGCTTTTTCATGATGTGCCTGAAGTACCATACCACACTCAATCTCTTACTGTCTTTTTCATTTAATGAACTCTTTGCCTCTTATGTCTTCCCCCATCACATAAAAATATTAATTTGGCTCAGAGTAGCTTTAGAAAGACTTAATACATTTATTTCTTTGAATAGAAAACAAAAATCTCAAATCAAAATATCTCCAGCATTATACTATTTTCCCCCTACATGTAGGACATAATGCTACTTAACAATTTATGCAGCTTACTTCTGTTACCATAAATATCTGGCTCATTTTCCCAGTCCCAAGGCTAATAGAAATCTTGGTGCCATAATCACAGATCTTATTCTAGCAGCTTACCATCTCACTGTGCATAGAGTAGCTGTAGTAAATGAAGAGCCACTATCACATTATAATAATTTTTTACCTTATCATTGATTTGACAAGTATTCAAGTACCTATTCTGTGCCTAATACTTTCCTAAGTGCTGGAGTTAGAGTGGTGGACTTGAGAAATTCCTTGCTGTGGAATTTATATTCTAATGCGGGAAGATAGATTTTAAACAAGTTTAACCAAAATCATTTGATTTCATATAGTGATGAGTGCTATGAAGTAAAATAAAGTAGCATAAAGCATTACAGTCCATGGCAATCAGAAAAAGATTCTCTGAGGACATAAAATCTGGGGAAGAATTTTCCAGGCTATAGGATTAGCAAGAGCAAAGGCCCTATAGGCCAGAAAACATTGAGTATGTTTAAAGAAATGCAAAAGAGGCAAGTATGACTGGATTGGGTTTATAGGCCTTGGAAAGGAACTTTCAAGTCAACTCTGAGAGAGACAAGAAGCTGCGAGAGGGCTTTTAGTAGGGGAGAGCCACTAATACATATTGGCAAAGGCTAACATTTATTCACTCAAATATTTAGCATCTGTTATGTATCAGATATTGTTTTTGGTACATGAATACAGCAGTGAACAAAGTCAAGGAAGTCATATTCTAATACAAATAGATAGGCAGTAAACGAGTAAATGAGGATATCATCTGTCATTTGGTATAAGTATACTGTAAACCAAAAAAAAGAAGCAGCAGCAGAAAGAGTGAATACATGGAGGTGGTTAGGGAAGGCCTCTCTGATAAAGTAATAGGTGAGCAGAGAGCAGACAAAAGAGTGGGGAAGAGGTGGTGGCTATCTCAAAGAAGAAGCTTCCAGGGAGAAGAAAGGACAGAAACGAAGTCCTGAACAGGTTCATGTTCTGAGTGTCGCTATTCTAAGGGTTTCGCTGTGTTAATTCACTTAATTTTGCGACAATCCTATGAGTTCTTTATGAAGACTAGACTTTGGTGAGTGTGCAGATTGGATAAAGGAAAACCAGGCAGACCAGGTGGGAGATGATGCTGGTATGAACTAGGATAATAGCAGCGAAGGTGATGAGAAGCAGTCAGATGTGGGATATAATTTGAAAGTAGTGCATGATTTTCTGATGAATTGGAAGTGGAGGATGAGAGAAGGAGACTAAAGGATAATTCCTAAGTTTTGGCTTGAACAACTGATCAACTTTTAGTAGAATTATTTATCTATGTGTCCATCCCACTAAATTATTAATCCCAAGAGAGAGACACCATATCCTTATCTTTGTATCACCAAGTGTGTCAAACAACATTGTTCACAGTCACCTTTGAAACACTTAGTTTTGTGTTTTTCATCTGCAGAAATCTATTAAAAGTTTTAAGTTGACAATTCTAAGGCACCATAATATTCTTGTTTGTTTAAATTAAAGGATTCACCAGGAGAGGAGAATATTGCTTTGAAAGTGACTAAACTGTATTCTTGCAAAGATAAATATTTAAAAAATATTTTTTTTTATAAAAAGTTTTACTGGTTAGCCTGGAGCAATTGTATCTCCCTTTCTATATTGCAATAGTATAGCAAAACTCTGTCTTGACAGGAAATAGATCAAAGGTAAATCAAATTTGTCTTTGCATCGCAAGTAAAAACCAGTTCCTGAACATGGTTTTTTTTTTACAGGAGGAAAGAATCTCTGAAACTATGGGTTTAAACCTTTAATTTTGCAGATAAAGAACCAGAAACCCAGAAAGTTTGTGGCTTGCCTAAGGTCACAGAATTGACAGTTGAACTCAGAACTCTAATTCTTGAGTGCTTTTCCCTCCTCTGCTGTCCTGATGCACACAGTAGCTTGTTACTCATATTAATGCAAATGTCTCCACCAGAGTAGAGGTGGGAACCTGACATTTTCCAAGGCAGGGAGGGAGGGGAATCATGGCTTTACTTTTGCCCTGGCCGGCACTCCCATTTTGTTTCTCTTTTTGGTTGAAGTATTTGCAGCTACCTAACATCTCAGTTGGGAATCATGCTTATGAGAGTAAGGGTACGGAACAGTCTGGTATGGCGATCTGTCAGCACTTCTACAAGCAAGGAAACATCTGTCCTGGAAATGATACCTTTGACATTGATCCAATAATTGAAACTGGTAATGTTCTTTTATAAGCTAGAACTTCCATTTCTAGCTCCTTGATTTATACTTAAAATCAGTAATTTCATCTCTGAAAATATTGATTTGGTCTGTGTTATTAGGACATTGTAAGAACCGTATAGGAATTATGTGTTCAGCCAGGTACTGTTCTAAGCCCTTTACTATAACTCATGATTAAAAACAAAAACAAAAACAAAAAAACCTCCAACAAGGGTAAGGTTTATTATTATCCCCAATTTTTAGAAGACTAAATTATGGCTCAGAGAGTTAAGTGATCTGCTAAAGATGAAACTAGTAAGAAGCAGTGCTGAAATTTAATCTAGGCTGTCTATACTCTTAGCTACTATATTCTGCCTCTCATGCCGAATAAGCCAGTTAAATAGGCAGATATTATCCTTACAAAACATTATGCTTGCAAATTCTCGATGTATATAAAACTCTCTCTTTTCACTATTCAGTATCTTTGGGGTAGGTTGGGGGAGGGATGAGAAACAGAACTTAGAATAGCACGACTTATTCTTATTAGCAGAATTTTATTTGCAATTTGTACCTAAAACATTAGTTTAAGTCATTCAATTAAAAAATAATTATTTGAATGCTTTCAACAATAGCCACTGGGACTTTTTCTTTTTTTCTTTTCTTTTCTTTTTTTTTTTTCTTTTTTTGAGAGGGATAGTAAAGGATTACAGTATTGATTAGTGAAAACTTTCTAAGATGCTAACTGAGCATTTTTTTTCTTCTTAAAGTGCTTACTGAGGAAAAATAGTTAATACATAATATTAAAAAAATAGCTCCTTTAAAGTTGAAAAATGCAAGTGCTTCAAACCTGTGTTTAGAATACAAAAAAGGGAGGAAGGACTCAAAGTTTAGGTTTAAAGGACAGGAAAGAAGATAGCATTCTATGGAAGACTAATGAGATAGAGTTCAGATCGTTGTCCACTCCCATCCACTGCAGTAATGTAGCCACTTATGTCTAAAAATAACAAATGAGTGATTGTAACCAAGTGGTATGGATGTCTAGCCTTTAAAATCTCAATTCAGAAAAATACTAATTCGAATCTGAATATCTAGTTTTAAATATATTATCTTTTCAAGATGCAGTTTTATTAATTTTGGATGCTATATTGTTTTGCTTCTTTCTATGCCAGAGTGTTTCTTTGTAGAGCCAGATGAATCTTTTTACATTGGAACACTAGAAGAAAATAAACTCAACTTAACCCTGGACTTTCACAGGTGAGGGAAGCAGAAGGGAATGTAACTTATATTTGTGTGTATATGTTTTCACTGCACTAAAATCTCCTGTTTTCTAGACTCCTAACAGTGGACCTGAAGTTTAAACTGAAGGCCATTAATCTGCAGACTATTCGTCATCACGAACTCCCTGACTGTTACGACTTTACTCTCACTGTAAGTGTGCACTGGGCTGAATTTGTTTCCAGTCTGGAGATAAATTGTTTCATCTAGTTATATGCTTCATCTACTTTTATTAAGGCATAGTCGAATATATAGGATATTTCCATTTGGATGTGCATAGAGGAAGCATCAGTACAACTAGCTCTCTTTTCTTATAACTTGTTTCCTTGTTAATTATGTCTTGTAAGTTCTATGAGGGCAGGGACCTTGCCTTGTTCATTGCTGTCTCCAGTACGAAGAGCAGTGTCTGGCACCATGTACGTGTTCAAATACAAAAGGAACAGAAATTTTTAGGTTCTGTATGGTCAACAGTTAGTGGTCTGTGGCTGAGGGCTGAAGGTCATTGTCAGGGTTCTTGCTGAGTTTTCTCACCGTGAACATTTATAACCTTTGGGTTATTGCTTACAGTGCCTTCCTTGTGCTGCCTCTGAATGCTCTGGTTAGTTTCTCCCCCCTCAGCTCACCCTTTCTCTTCTATGTTCTCTACATTCCAGTTGTAAATAGAGCTATTAATGCTCTCTAGAGAGCACAAGATGCCTCTCATGTGAGTCCATCACCAGACGAAAGTCAGAGTCAGTAACAATGCGGTATGGACATATGCAGGAAAGCATTTTTTACAACTTGCCTTCATATGATTCAAATTTCCATTACTTCAGCATTAGTTTGTATCAAAAGCTGTGTACACAATACTCAACTAATTGACTGTAGGAAATCAAGTTTTCAGAAATTGGGATTAAAAAATTTTCAGAACATAGTATAATATAATAATATTCATATTATGTAACAAGAAAAAGCTCTGAAACTATAAGACAGTTTTGACTTAGGCTACAAATTTTAAACCTGATATAAATTTTCAACATTACTTTATTTTTTAAAAATTGAATTGTTATCCAATCTCATCTCCTCTCTCTCTCTCACTCTCTCTCATTGGTAAATTGTACTTTTCAAAATTTTTGTTAAATTTTTAAGGCTTAGTTCAACTGACACCTCCTTTATGGACCCATTTGTGATTCTTCAGTTAGAAAAGCATTCTGTGCTCTGAACTTTCAGGTTTTATTTTGTTTTTGTTTTTGTAATTTCAATGGTCTTACCACCTTCTCCTTTGTTTTAGGATTTTCTAGGTGTTTATCATCAACCCTGCTAGATTCAAAGCTACTTGAAGGCAGGGATCATTTCATCAATCTTTTCCTCCCTCAAAGAACATAGTAGGTGACTCAAATATCGAATGAATGAATGAAATACTTGTAAAATGTAGATCCTTTTCAGTGAGTCAATACAGTTGTAAAGGCAACTTGGCTTGTTAGCCACATGCAGATGTTATATTTTTATCATTATTGTAGAATCACCTCAAGCTATGCCTGTGCATTGTGGATTTAGCAATGCATCTCATAGAACTGTGGTAGAACTTACATTCATATAAGGTAGTTTCATCATAAAAGCCACTAGTGCAACTTCATTGTCATAAGTAAATGTAGACTGGAACAGCATACATCTGATAAAAAATGCAGGGACTTTGTAGTTAGACAAGCCTAGATTTTAATTTCAGCTCACCAGTTTGTAGCTATGTAGCTTTAGGAAAATTACTTAATTGGTTTGAGCCTCAGTTTTCTCATTTGTAAAACAAAATTAATGCCCACCTACCTGACAAAGTTGTTGTCAAGATAGATGATAACATATATAAAGGACTTATCTAAGTATCTGGTATATAGCAGATATCCAATTCATTCAACAGCTATTTATTAAACCTTTTCTGTGTATGCCCAGTTGGATTTACAATATAAAAGTAGTGCGTTAGCATTCATTCATAGTAGTTTGATAAATTCTTTCACCATGTATTTTTAAGCTATTTATTAGTCATATAAACATCTGTGTCTGCTTGAGCTGACTTTTATTATTATGAAATGGAACTCTTCAACCCTAGTAATAGGCTTTGCTCTAAAATTTACTTTGTCTGATGTTAATATAGCCATTTCAGTTTTTTTTGATTAGTGTTAGCATGGTATATCCTTTTTCATCCTTTTAAAACTATATGCGTCTTATATTTAAAGTGGGTTTCTTAATAAGCATATAGTTCAGTCTTGCTTTTTTATCCAACTTCACAATCTCTTCCTTTAAAAAAAAATTTTTTTTTCAATTATACTCGGCATATAACATAGTGATTAGACATCTGTATAACTCACAAAGTGGTCACCTCAATAAATCTAGTACACCTCTGACACCGTACATGGTTATTACAATATTATTGATTATATTTCTTATGCTATATTTTATATCTCCATGACTACTTTGTAACTACCTGTTTGTACTTCTTAACTCCTTCCCCTTTTTTCACCAACTCCCTGCTCCCCCTTCTATCTGGTAACTCTCAAAATGTTCTCTGTATCTATGAGTTTGTTTCTGTTTTTTGTTGTTGTTGTTGTTCGTTTGTTTATTTTGTTCTTTAGATTCCACATGTATGTGAAATCATATGGCATTTGTCTTTCTCTACCTGACTTACTCCACTCGGCACAACACCCTCTAGGTCCGTCATGAAATATCTTTTTCTGTCCTTTCACTTTCCCATCTGTGTGTGTCTTTTGATCTGAAGTAAGTCTCTTGTAGGCAGCCTATGTAAGGATCTTGTTTTCTTATCCATTCAGCCACCCTGTCTTTTAATTGGAGCATAATTCTTTTTCATTTGCAATACTTGTTGATAGATATGTAGTTATTGCCATTCTTTATTCATATTTTTGATACATATTTTTCTTCTTCTTAAAGTCCCTCCAACATTTCTTGTAATACTGGCTTGGTGGTAATGAACTCCTTTAGCTTTTTCTTTTATATGAAGCTCTTTTATAGCTTTGCTGGGTAGAGTAATCATGGTTGTAGGTCCTAGCTTTTCATCACTTTGAATATTTTTGTGCCAAGCCCTTCTGGCCTGCAAAGTTTCTGTTGAGAAACTGGCTGATAGTCTTATGGCAAGTCCCTTGTAGGTAACTAATTGCTTTTCTCTTGCTGCTTTTAAGAGTCTGTCTTTCATATTTAACCTTTGGTATTTTAATTACGATGTGTCTGGTGTGGGCCTGTTTGGGTTCATCTTGTTTGGGACATGCTGAACTTCTTAGGGTTGTATGTCTATTTCCTTCAACAGGTTAGGAAAATTTTCCATCATTATTTCTTCAAATAGGTTTTCAATTTTTTGTTCTCTCTCTTCTCCTCCAGGTACCTCTACGATGCAAATGTTGTTATGTTTGATGTTGTCACAGAGGCTCCTTAAACTGTTTTCATTTTTTTGGATTCTTTTTTCTTGTTGCTGTTGTGATTGGGTATCCTCCACTACCCTAAGCTCTAAATCACTGATTTGATCCTCTGTTTCATCCACTCTGTTGATTCCCTCTGATGTACTCTTCATCTCAGATATTGTATTCTTCATTTCTGACTGGTTCCTTTTGTTTTCCTTCTCCATTTTACGTGTCCTATCTCTTTGTTTAAGTTCTCACCAAGTTCATCTACTCTTCCCCTAAGTTCACTGAGTATCTTTATAACCAGTGTTTTGAACTCTGCATCTGGTAGATTGTTTGTCTCCATTTTGTTGAGCTTTCTCTGGAGCTTTTTTCTGTGTTTTCATGGAGGACATGTTTCTTTGTCTCCCCCTTTTGGCGACCTCCTTATATCTGCTTCTATGTATGAGGTAGGGCTCCTAAATCTCTTGGTCATAGTAGAATGGCTTCATGTAGTAGACGTCCTGTGGGGCTCAGTGGCACAGTCTTCCCTGGTCACTTGAGCAAGGTGCTCAAGGTGTGTCTCTTTTATGGGTTGTGTGTGCCCTCCTGTTATAGTTGAGTTTTGGTTGCTGTTTGCAGACTGATGGGAGGGATTGACAGTTGGGCTGATTGATTGTGAAGACTGGCTGGTGAGGGGCTGATCCTATGGAGCAAGATTCACTTTAGTGGGGCTCTGGTGCCTGCTCAGTCTACTCTTCAGATGTGTTCTTCTCAGGTGTATCCCTAGTTGGTATTCCTGCTCCAGAGCTGGTGTTAGCAGGCCACCGGGTGTGCTGGCCCAAGGGCTTCCTAGGAGGGGTCTAGCTGCAGGCCAAGTTTAGTTGTAGCCTGTGTACCTCCTGGGGCCACCTGATAAGAGTCACCAAGCACTTCACAGATGGCTGCCACTTGTGCTGGGCTTATAGATGCCTTGTGAGGCCAAGCCAGGAACCCAGGCTGGATGCCGCTAGTGCGGGGTTTGGATCTGCTCAGCAAGAGGTATAGAGCATGCCGAGGTCAGATGCTGCTTCTTTGGGTTTTGTGAACCTTTGAGAGATTTTAGGAAAGTCTGCAGCAAAAGCCAAGACAGGCCTTTTGTATGGAATAAACCACTAAAAGTGGCCTCGGTGGGTCCACAGGTTGGGAGAGGCGGAGTCTTAGGGAACCACCCGGGCTGTGTGTTAGCCAGGTCGATGGAGACTCAGATATGGCATCTACCTGCATCTGCACACTGCGAATGGAGAGAGTTCAACACAGGAACAATAGATACTGCTAGTACTTCTGTCCGGGAGAAAGCCACCTCTCTGACCCTTGTCCTGAAGTCCAACAACTCAGTGTCTCCCCGTATGTCCCTGGCTCTCCTCCAGTAGCTGCCCCAGCACTGGAACTCAGAGTGAGTCCATCAGCAAGTAAGTCCAGGTGCAGGCCCTTTAAGAGGAATGTCTGCAATCCTGCAGCCCTCTGTCTCACTCAGGCATCATGCCTGCTGTTTTTCACAGCCAGAGGTTGTAGGGACTTCTCTTCCCAGCACTGGAACCCTGGGCTGGGTGCCTATTATGGGGCTGGGACTTCTTGCTCCTCAGGTAGGGAAGGGGGCTTTGCAGCCAAGATAACCCTCCTGATTCTCCATCACCATATGTAGTTGTGGGACCCGGTGGTTTCGCATCTTCGCCCCTCCTACCAGTTCGCGGTGACCTCTTGTGTTTGTCCCTAGTCATAGGGCTTCTGTTCAGCCAGACCTTAGACAACTCCCAATGATGGTTGTTCTGTAGCTTCGTTATAATTATGGTGTAGTAATGAGAAGAGGCGTGCACAGCCTGTACCTTCTACGCCATCTTGACTGCCCTACTACGCCATCTTGACTCTCTTCCTTTTAATTAGGGTACTTAGACCATTTAAACTGCATGTAATTTGCATGTGATTATTAATATGGTTTCTCTGTCTCTTGTTTAATTAACTGGGTATTTGCTGTTTCCATTTTATCTCGTTTGTCAGCTTGTTAGCTATAATTCTTTGTTGTATTATTTTAGGGTATGTAATGCACGTATTTAACTTAATACAGTCTACATTCAGATGCTATACCATTACATGAATAGTATAAGAACCTAACAACAATATATTTCATTTCTTCAATCTTGGCCTTTATGTTACTATTGTCATACAATTTACTTTCCAGATGTGTTACAAAATACATTATTAATTTTGCTTTAAATAGTCAATTATCTTTTCAAGTAATTTAAGTAATAAGAAAAAAGTCTTTTTATTTGCCCTGTATTTATCATTTTCAGAGTGCCTCATTCCTTTGTGTAGCTTCAGGTTTCCATCTGGCATTTTCCTTATGCCTGAAGAGCCTTCTTTAACATTTCTTATAGTGCAGATCTGCTGGTGATGAATTCTCTCAGCTCGTGTATGTCTGAAAAAGTATTTTGCCTTCATTTTTAAAAGTTATTTTCACTGGGTATAGAATTCTAGGTTTTTTTTTTTCTTGTACTTTAAAGATGTTGCTCTCCAGCCTTGCATTGCTTCTGATGAGAAATCTACTGTCATCGTCATCTGTTCTGCTGTATAGGATGTGTTTTACCACTTCTGGCTGCTTTTAAATTTTTTCTCTTTAGCTACGATTTTAACAATTTCATTGTAATATGCCTTGGTATAGTTTTCTTCATGCTTCTTGTGTTTGGAGTTCATTGAACATCTTAGTTCTGTGGGTTTATAGTTTTCATTATATTTGATATTTACTCCATATTATTTCTTCAAATATTTTTGTTTCTTCTCCCTCACTTTTCAGAGATTGTAGTTACATGTATATCTGGGCACTTGAAGTTGTCCCATGGCTCACTAATGCTCCCTTTTTTTGTTTTATTTTTCAGTTTTTTTTTCTCTGTGTTTCATTTTGAATAATCTCTATTGCTATGTCTTCATAATTCACTAATATTTTTTCCTGTACATCTAATCTATTGTTAATTCCATCCTGTGTTTTTCTTCTTTGTTTAAAGAATTTAGCTTCTTCAATACCTTATTAAGATGTGATTAACATTAAGCCTACTATTTCTAAGACCCCAAGGCTCTTTGCGTGGGAAAAGCACGGTTTTTCTTTGGCAAGGATTTCTCACTCATTCAAATAATACTGACCATCTTCCTTGTGTAAGGCTGTGAGCTGAGTTCTCCAGCAGTTATAGAGATGGGCAGACACTGACAATGCCCTTGGTTGCTTATTGAGGAAAAAAGCTTACAGAGCAACATGAAGAAACATAGTAACCAGCCTTGTTAAATTTATTTGATTTCTTATATCTTAAGTCATATCAGATTACCTTACATGAAGAAGCTTTGAAATTTATTTGAATGACAGACTTTTAAAAGAATTCTCTCTACCCCTCGGGACTTGAAAGAAGAGGAACTAAAAAAAAAAGACTGATTTTTTTGCTGCTTTTCAA